TCTTACGGTTCCTCGAGAAAAAAAAAATTCTCAGGGGAAAAAAAGGGCCGATTCAAGTCTTTGTGGGTCACGACATGCTTCAGTTCACGGTTTTGGCTCTTGTGCGACCAACAAGACACCAAATGCCCTGTTTTTGGGTCGCCTCCAGAGGGCATGTATACAATCGCACGCCAGTGACTGCAGTTTGTGGATGTCGTCGGCCAAAGGCCTCTCTCGGGCATGCGTTGTGGATTGATCACGCTCGGAGCAACCAGAATAAAAAAGGCAACGTTCAAAAAACCCAACATCGCAACACACTTCGGTTCACATTTGCAGGCCGTGTGCAATCAAAAGTGGACAATACGCTCTGCTTCTGGGACGCGAGCAGAGCGATTGTGTATGATCACACTCCATTGGCAGTAGTTTGTGGATGTCATCGGCCGAAAGCCTCTCTCTGGCATGTGTTGTGGACTGGTAGCGGGTGATACACGGAGCAAACACGCGGCGGAACAAGAAAAAAGTAAAAAAAGTCAACACCGCAACGCACTTCGGTTCACGTTTACAGCCCGTGTGCAATCAAAACTGGACAATATGATGTGTTTCTGGGACGCGAGCAGAGGGTACGCATATGATCACACGCCACTGGCTGCAGTTTGTGGATGTCGACGGCATAAAGCCTCTCTCTAGCGTGTGTTTTGACTGGTCACACATGCAGCAGGCACGAAAACGGCTCTTTTCGGCCCAAAGGCAAGAACGTCAGCAGACCAACGTGGCAGGGTTGACGTTATCGGCTCGTGTGCGGTCAACACGACGCAGAACGCCCTGAATTTTTGATACCTGCAGAGGGTTTGTGCATGGCCTAATGATATTGGCCTCTGTTTGGCCAGCAGACGGTGTAGTTCCTCGTTCTGGCACGATCGGGGTGTGACCAGGGGGTACCCCCCCCCAATTCCAAACTGGAAATTATCAGTCGATCCGGTTTGGAAAATGGGCCTATTTTCCAACGCGGCAGCTGGGATCCTAGGAAATATTCGGCGATTTGGAATTTGGGCGTTTGGAATTGGCCAAATTCCTCCGCGTAAGCCGCTCAAATAATTATTTGGGCTGAGAAAAGGACCCCCCCCCAATAAAAATCCCGAAATAATCACGACGTAAGACTCGGCCTGAGGCAAGAAACATGCGTGCCTCTATGAAAAAAATATCGAAAAATACGAAATTGGTACCGCATCAAGTCATGCGTGTTTTTCTCTTGAGTTTTATCAGCGTCCGATCGCTTCCAGTATCTACTGTACCAACTTCCGGTCTTGGTTCACCCTCCTGTTTGCTCGATGAGCGATCCTTTCACGGGAGATTGTCATCGGAGATTGTCATCGGAGATGTATTCGAGTCGGTCGGTCCACACAAACTTGACGACGCGAGACTGCAGAGTGGGTGCTACTGTTTAGCGTCTTCCTGAGATGAAATACTCTACCTCGTCGTAAATCGGTGTGTTTCTGTCCTTCCTAGCCACCCCGATGGGTTCGTATGTGCGATTCTGAACAGTACCACAACGTTTCTTCTTCAACCCTGCTGTACATCATTTTCGAGTGCGGTTTCACAGTTTGACGTACGAGAGTATTCGTGCTGTAACGTGTAACAGTTACAAGTACCAACGCGATGCACACGTTAGCGAAACACCAACAAGCGCAGGCATCCTGCAAACTGAAGTACAAAAGGGCCATAAACAGAGGCGGGCAGGTGTGTAAACACAGCTCCTACTGGTGTGGACTACTCATTTTTCATCATGTTCCGCCAAGCCTGACGCCATGTTGTTCGTCCTGCTCAGCACGATCGATGTTGTTGAGACATTGCTTCTGGGTTGTCAACGCGTGCAAGATACAGAGCGCACCTCCCACACAGGCGAGTGCGGTAATGACAGCAGTGGTGGTAATGCCGAAGCTGTAGACTACGTGTGCACCGTGACGGTCAACAAGTGCAGCTCCAATGACATACCTACTGCGAAACCAAATACCACACACTGCTGTAGTTCATTGTTCGACGCTACAAGAGTGTTAACGGAGCCGCAGTGTAGCCCCCAATATCTCGCCCATAATTACTGTTTTCCCGGAGTCACTTGAAACACAAAAGCAGCAGTAACCGTTGTGCGAGGTAAAAACACGCTCCGTTTGCTCTACAAGTATGCAACTGCGAGTGGTCTCCGATCCTTGCGAAACGACGTCCAGTGCGCTCTCTCCGACCTAAAGATTTGGTTCACTTCGACCAGGCCTGTAGAATATTATGAAAATCGATCCGCCGCACGCGCCCACTTACGCAACTTACCGTCGATTGTGCGGGGGGGCTGCTCCCCAAAGGGCGGCCGGCAGCAAGTTGTTCCCATTGCACAACACGGCGTGAGTGCTGGTGTGTCTTGCTTTGCTCCCTCCCGCCTCTACAAGGTGATGCCCCTGCCCCCTGTACCCCGTTGGTCAACAAATTAAATGTGGTACAAACGGTGGCTGTGGTTACGGAAAACGTGTCGCTCTCTTTGTCGATGGCAGTGGGCGGCCATGTGTCATGTACGTTGCCACGGCCGCGGCGGCGCATGCGGACATGGGGACCTATAACAACTTCAACCATTGGTCAATACTGCCCGATCGAGACGAAGAATAACGCTGGGCGGGCCAGGCACGCACAGCTTCCTCGTGAGTGCCGTGCCTCTCGCACCCTAGCAGATCATCACCATCAGAGGTCGTCATTAGTATCTGCGTAACGGTGTCGTCGCAGCACAAGACGCCAAACACTACCTCTGTCTGGCAGAAAATTCGCCATTCATCATACGACGGTGAGGGTGCTGTGCGAGCACGGTCCGTCCTGTATAAAACCGCCGAGTTTGAGGTCTCCATCCTACCGACTGTATTTACCATCATGGCCATGAGGACAGCTCCCGCCATCTAACGTAGAGACCAAATCATCATGTCGTACAACATGTTCAGCAAGACGTCTCATCCAGCTGTGCAATGGGGATGGATGTGGGACGCACCACATCTATTTTGAGTCATGCAGTCTGCATCCCTCTCACCGCCGGTCTTGACGAACTTGTTGAAGTTCGCCCGTGAAGATGCAACAGCAATTTCACCGCTCTCCATGCCCCGTTTCTCCCCTTGGCGCTTCCTGTGCTCGGTGTCTCCAGCGTTGACACACATGTTCAGCGATGGGAGAAGGATGAGCTTGCACAGCAAGGAGGGGGAGGGTGTAGCTGTAGAGAGGCCTCCCATCGGCCCATTGGGCGGAACTGTTGACCCCTCCCCTGAGGAATAACGCCTTCTCCGCTCGCTCTGCCGTTCATTTTTAAGCGGAGGATCTTGGGGCCTGGGCCCTCCGCCCATGCACCATGCACACAATCTCACCAGGCGTTCAGCAGGAGCGAGACGCACAAGCAGAGGCAGGGTGGTGAATACACGACCCGGATCAGACTACCATACGATCGCTTCTTACTGCTGTGGGCACGCGAGGAATCAACCTTCCCGTCCGTCCGCGCATCAGCCGAGAGAGATAGCGCGACTCAGCTCCGTTGGGTGGCGATTTTGAGACGGTGGATTAAACCGAAAACAGACAAGCAGACGAGGCAGAGAGAGAGAGAGAGGGAGGGAGAGAGCGCGACGGGAATAGGACGGCAGCACCAGAGGGAAGCAGGAAGCTTCGCGACCGTAGCGCCACAACAAAAGCGTCGCGGCACTTCTTCTTCTGTACGCTCGCCGTGGGCTTGCTGCCTCAACTTTTGCCGAGAGTGACGGGTAGTAGGCTGTTGGTTGTAGATCTCACCGTCTTGTTCAGCCAAGGGAGGAACGGGACCGCATCGACCGGATAGCCTTCAGCTCCCTGTTGGACTACTTATCGCGCTCATCACGTCAAGATCGGGCGGCGTCACGGCGAAGCATCGGACTCAGAGCAAGGGTAAAGGTCTCATCGGCACATCATGGTGATCGTTGAGGATTCCGGCGACTGGGACACCGAGAGAAAGACAGATCCCAGAGATATGTGAGCGTTGAGACACTCTCTTGTTGTTATCGGCTTCGCTGTTTGTTTGGTAGAGCAAGAGATTGGTAGGCGCTGTTGTAGGATGCTCGTACTGGTTCGCTGCGCTTGCGGCGGTGTTCTTCCCACAGACGTGTAGGTATATGTAGTCTAAAACTGATGCACGTGCACCCGGCCTCTCCTCCACATGTGGAGATCACAGATGCCATGTCATGAGGTTCACCCTCCTCATGACAAATACCGGCCGCAACAAGGCCACAACCAAAAAGAAACCCATTTTTCCTTAAAAGATCCTCTCGAAAATCGATGTGGAGCAGACCGTGGCGCGGGGTTGGTTGTGTACCAGATACACAAACAATTGGCGACACTGCCTTGAGAGCCGTGGGGGGGGTCTTTTCGCATGGTGATGCCGTTGAGCGTGATCCTTGTTGCCGGGGTCATTTACTCTCTAATAGCCAGATGGGAGATATTTTATGCGCCGAATATTTTTGTTGTACCATGTTTCCGACGGGGAGGTCTGTGATGTTGCATTAGACTGTACACATGACAGGCTGACGTAGGAATACATGACAGAGTCTTCTCTCGTGGATCCCTTGGGGTTACTCCACGAAACGTGGGTGGAAACAGGCTAAACCAAAAAAGAACTACGGAGTACACTCCAACGTTCGTGGTATTATTTAAAACACACCTAAAAACACGTAGACTATACTCGCCCTCGGGCACGCCAAAAGCGGACAAGTCCCGGGCCAACTCAAACTTAGCGGGGTGGATACAGTTCATGTTGTTTCTCTCGCACCCCGGGAATAACGCAACGCTGTTTGCTACACATTGTTGGGCTCAAACCCACAGGGGTGGACTGCGGGGGAGGCAAAAGATTTACCTGTACTTTTGGCATACATACGTAGATAGGTTACACATACACATGTCACATGAAAATGGGACTGCTCGCCGGAGAAATGATTGTCCAAACTTTGTTGTGAAGTTTCAGTCACACTGGCCATTCTGTAACACTCGAGAACGTGTATTGGTACTCCACCCACATGATGAGAAGCACTACTTGCCTTGGGTGTATTTTTTTTGTTGCTGACACCGATGTTGCAACTCTCCCTCCCCCCCTTAATTCAACAGGCTGTTTGGGCGCGTGTTCGGAGGGCTTCCGAACGGCCGCCTAGGACGGCGGTCGATCAAGGCGGGGGGATCGGCGGGGAACTCTGTTCTACGGGTCGACCCCGTGACAGAGCCATCCACTCCGTCTTCCTCTTCGGCGGACCTCACATCCTTCAACACTTTCCCCCGGAGTGAAGGTGCGCTTGTTTCCGCAGCAACAGCGCCACCGGCCCTCGCAAAAGATGGTCGCACAACCAACAAACCGGGGTAAATAACTTGAATTTTTGCCGCCAAAACGTCTCGCCCCCCCGCACCCTCAAACCATTGATGATGCGCGTTTGGTCGATTGCTGCGTCCCAGGATAGGAGGTGTCGAGGAGGGGACGGCATACATGCGCAGATACCATTCTGTTGGTTGGCCGTTATCCTTCGTATTGGGTCCTGTCATGCTTAGCTGCGAGCGACGCGATGTTTTCGTTGTTTTATTCAACTCGAAGCACCGTTCATTGCTCTTCCGGTAC